CTAGGTTTGTTGGCTTCCATCGGCATTTAGGAAATTGAAATTGTTTCTCACCATCATCAAAGTGTGATGTCTCTGTTATAGCTGATGTAGTCAACGTTGCCTCTTCGGATGGATTTGATATGTATCTTTAGTTGATTGTAGTTCTTGCTTTGTTCGGTCGGTTGCAATGTTTTCCATTGGAATTGTCTCTGTTCGCTTTTGTTGTCTCTGTAAGCCTGACTTTCGATATTGGTATTTTCTTTGTATTGTTCTTATGTAGCACTCTTTTCCTCCAATTAGATTAGGGAGGTTTTTAATGAGGCGCATAAGTTGTTCTTCGTCTCTTGATTTTAATAAATCATCATTCCTATAAAAAAAAAGACCAAGGAAAATCAACAATTTAAAGCGCTCATTGATGTACTTCGCCAACTAACCATCAACATTCCATTTATAGATGATTTGGAGAAAAAGCCAAACTACATCAAATTCATGCGTGAAGTACTATCCAAGAAGAGGAGGCTAGGTGTGTTTGAAACTGTTGCACTAACTAAAGGCTGCAGCACTATGGCCACAAGCAGACTACCACCAAAGCTTAAAGACCCAGGGAGCTTTACTATTCCTATAGCATTGGTGACCAGTTTGTTGGTAAAACTTTATGCAATTTAGATGCTAGAATTAACTTAATGTCATTGTCTATTTTTAGGAAATTTGGAAGTGGAGACGCAAGACCAACAGCCGTGACGCTACAGCTTGCTAACCAGTCCACCGTACATTCAAGTAGAATAGTGGAGAATATGCTGGTTTGAGTGGATAAGTTCATATTTGCAACTGAATTCATTATACTCGATTGTGAAGCTGATAAGGAAGTTCCAATCATCCTTGGAAGACCCTTCCTCGCTACAGAGCATTAATCGATGTGGAAAAGGGAGAACTCACTATGCGTTTAAATGATGAATACATTACTTTCAATGTTTTGAAAAATATGTCTTATATGGATGATACTGCTGAGTGTAATAGTATTGATGCTTTTGATGTTTTTGTGGAAGGGCATTTAGATGAAAGTTACAGCATGGGAGTTGCTACAACCAATGCTATAGCAATTGAAAGAATTAGGACGATGAGGAAGGAAATTTCATGCATCACTTTGAGTCATTGGACCTTCCTGATCAACCGATTCAAGCACCAAATACATCCATAGAGGACCTACTTAAGCTTGAACTCAAACCCGTTCATGAGCATTTGAGATATGCATTCTTTGGGGAAAAATGATACTATGTCGATCATCATTGCAACAAAGCTTACATCATCTCAAGCTGACAGTTTAATTTATGTGCTGAAGCAACATAAGAAGGCTATTGTCTGGGGCATTGCTGATATAAAAGGGATTAGCCCAGCATTTTGCATACATAAAATTTTATTAAAGGACCTGAGTAGTAGTTCTATTGAGTAGTAAAGATAGTTGAACCCAATTATGAAAGAAGTAGTTCAAAAGGAAGTCATAAAATGCTTTATTCATATTGAATATCTTTAAAATGCTTTCGATAGTATTCATTAATAAATAAGAAAAACTATTTTTAAGTGATCGATCTACATGTCAAGAGAAAATTTGATTTCAAGATTCTTTATCTCAAATATTTAAGCAAATATATTTATACGAATTTTAAAGGAATTTTCAAATGCTTATGGAATTTTATATCTTTTAGGGACATATTTCACTATATAGAGATCCACAAAATCATTAGATTTTGGATTTAACTACACTTGAATATGCCTTGCTATTTTGGCTAAGCAATTCTATTTTTTTACTCATGGATAGATTTATATTTAAGATCTTCATTTTCATTTTGTTTATTTAATTATGTATTGTGTCTCCTTAAGAGAACCTCTATCAGCTATATGATCATCTCATACTACTTTTCATTTACAAAAATTTTAATCATTGAAACAAATTCAACTATAGTATTTCAGGCATAATTTACATTCATTCTCTCTAACATGTTATCCTTTTGATTTCAATTTAAAATTAGAGTATTTTAATTGGTATATGAGACTTGATTACTCTCATTTGGTTAATAAATATTTATGATAACTGACTTGTAATGAATTGTTTTAAAATTTTCTGGTCCACATCACTATATACAAGCATCTCGATTTTTGCATTGATCTGAATATTCACCATTGATGTTGAAAAAACTATCTATTAAAAAGGATACTAGGTAATGGATGAGTGATGAGGGATTTATTTCGCTATTATTTTATCTTTAATTTCTCCTTATTAATTAAGTAATGCAACAAATTTGGGCATTTTTATTCATTTTCTATGCAAGACGTTAAATTCTAGAAACAACACTAAAAAGTCAAAATTTTGCAATTTTTATTTTCTGGAGTCAAGTCTGAAGTAATGGGCATGACAGCGTCTAATGTGGCATCTAGTCAACAGCTTCTATAAGGCAGTCCAGTTAGCATTTCTAGATGGGCGGACGGATTAGATTCAATTTAAATTTGAAATATGATTGATCACTTGTTTTTAGGATTTTATTTGAATATTTTCAAGAATTATCTTTAGTTATTTGTACTTCATTTTTAAGGGTTTTAGAATGCTATAAATACCATTAGAGTGTAGCTTGAAAGAACATACAATTTAAATTGGATTTTACTTTGTTCTTCGAGGTTTTGTTTTATAAAAGTTACTTTTCCATTAATCTTTGTTTTTAGTTTTTACTTTCTATTTCATAATATATTGAGAATTAAAAAGCACTTAATAATCTTAATATATCATTCTCAATTTTCTGTAAAATTGGATTGACAATTGCCCTCTTCTTTAAAATCTTTACACTTTCAAATTCAAAAAGTGCATGTTGGTTTGAACATTGTTTCAATTTATAGTTGGGAGGAAGGATCAACTTGTAGCAAATTTGACTTCCTATGAACACACTTAGCGGCGATCCGTTAAGAGAAATTGAGATCGAGTTCGATTCTTATTGAGACAACATAATCCGAGTTCGATGATAGTCATGATTAGTCCAAGTCAAAACTACTCAATATCAAAAGTTCCTTAGTACTCGTGGATTGATCATTCTTCTCTCTACTACATTATTTATTTGTTTATTTATTTTGAGATTAAGACTATTTTATTTAATAGTTGATATCAATTTTATTTGTGTTTACTCCATACGAAAAATTTATTTTATTAATATATATGTATCTATTCTGAAAAATATTTCTAGATTGACGAATAATTCAAAAAATTAATGTAATTATTGAAATCTGACCCAAAGTTGTATCTTCGAGCTGTGTTGTACGAGTACTGTTGCTAAGTGTGAATAAAAATAAGTTGCTAGCAGCGTCAATCGTGCTGCTATCACATGGAATTGATTTTTAGTTATTTCTTTTAAACACATATTTTCTCTTTTTTAATTCTAAAAAAAATACAAAGATATATGTTCTTTGTGGTTGTTAGGATGAGTGTGTTATGCTCGACAAATACTGTTGAGTACCATTAACGATGATAATTATTAATTAAATTTATAAAAATTTTAAATGATTCAACATATAATTATAAATTAGTTAAAAATCTAAAGTTAAATTATTTAAAATAAAATATTAATTATATTATTTTTCATAATCTCTTTTGGGTAAATTACATTTTTATCCTTAATATTTATAAATTCTATCAATTTGATCATAATTTTAATTCAATTTAATAAATTTAATCTCCAATTAGATGGTGACATATGTTACTACCATATTGGAGGATATTTTATTAATTTTAATTATTTAATTTATTTTCTTTTATATCCAATCAGGTGGTAACAAGTGTCACCACCTTATTTGATAAGCAAAGTAGTTAGATGACCTTATTGACAAAATTTTAAAAATGGTGGTCAAAATGAAAAGGGATAATAGTTAGGTAGTCAATGGTATAATTTACCCAAATAAGATTATGAAAAATAATGTAATTAATATTTTGTTTTAAATAATTTACTTTATATTTTCAACTAATTTATAATGATATGTTGAGTCATTTAGAATTTCAAATTTTTATAAATTAAACTAATGGTGCTGAGGGTGCTCGTCGAGCGTTGTAGAATTTTCCGTAGTTGTTATTTTTTATTGTCCTCTATTATCTCTCTTATTCTGGGATTTTCATCCCATATTAATAATTTTGTATTACCGAGTACTTTCTTGTTATGGGATTTTCCTCCGTCAAGGGGGCACAACGCGATCCACCTCCGCCTCCGTCATCTAATGAGTATCAGTCTCCACCTCCACTAGTGGGATATCATCTACCACTCAAGGAGTTAATGTGATTATCGAAATATGACCGGAACAATTAAAACGAATTTAAAAGAATACATTGAGTGTATTTTGTGTTTTAAAAGTTATTTTATTGACTATTCATTGGAAAAACTTGAGTTTTTGTATAAAAATTATCTTTAACTTAATGTGTAATGGGTTGAGGTTAAAAATATCTTGACGTGTTCTTCTTACATATATTTTTAGGAGTAACCTCTATATTAATCACTCTTAACACACACAAAAAAGAATAAAATGAATATTTTGGTAAAAAAATCTTGAAAATAATTATCTAGATAAGAAAAAGAACTTGCTAACACGTGATTGCAGCACGATTGACGGTGGTAGCAGTCCTCGATTCAAGTGAGAATCAAAGAACAGCGGGATTAATAACTAACAGGACGATTGACACTAAAAAACTTTGCTAAGCACTAGTTTTTTGACCTAGATAATAGGATAGATGTATAGTAGTAATCATTTAAAGCAATAAAGCACATGACTAAAACATGTACATATATTAATAATCTGATGAACAGCGGATATCGTGGATTTTGATATCAGCACATGGACATGCTCAGAAAATATCATATTAATAATTAACAACGTGTGATGTTAATAATTTCTTCACTAATGCAGACAAAGATAACAATGGATATAAATAGGTAAGAAGGCATAAGAATGAAACACAACAAAAGAGCAAGTCACTTGATAAAAAGAAGAAGAAAATGGCATTGCCAAGCTTTATTGCTCTTGGATTCAACCCCAAAGGTGTTTACTTGACCTATGTTGCTGATGGTGGAAACATCGATGGGTATCTCAAGTTTTTCGAAACTGATGTTGAGAGCCCATTTGCAAAATTCCAAGTGGAGGTTGCTAACGCAGATGGTTTGTTCCACATACGAAGTTGCCAAAACAACAAATATTGGGAAAGAAGCAAAAATCTTTCCATCACCGGAAACCCATTGGAGCAGTATTGGATTACTGCAACCGCCGACAAGAAGGAGGAAGACCTGTCCAAGGAGTCATGCACGTTGTTCAAGTGTATCCCTGTGGACTCTACTATGACTTCGGTCCGGATTGTTCATGTCCAATCAGGATGCTATTTATGCTTATGGAAGTTGGCTGATCCATCATACCACGGCATCGTGTTGGCAAACTACCGAATTCATGATCATCAAGGCTGTGATATCTTCCAACTTATTGATTTGAAATTGCCAACCGCGAAGTTGATCACACTTGGATTCAATCCCAAAGGTGTATACTTGGGCTATGTTCGTGATGCTGAAACCATAGATGGTTATCTCAAATTTTTCGAGACTTATGCTGAGAGCCCATATGCAAAATTTGAAATGGAGGTTGCTAGCGCAGATGGTTTGTTCCACATAAGAAGTCGCACAAACAACAAATATTGGGAAAGAAGCAAAAATCTTTCCATCACCGGAAACCCAGCCGAGCAGTATTGGATTACTGCAACAGCCAGCAACAAGGAGGAAGACCAGTCCAAGGAGTCATGCACGTTGTTCAAGTTTGCCCCTGTAGACCCTGCTAAGAAGACGGTCCGGATTGTTCATGTGCAATCAGGATGCTATTTATGCCAATGGGGTTTGGCTAATCCAACATACGAGTCCATCGTGTTGGCAAACTACCAAATTTATGATCATCAAGGCTGTGATATCTTCCAGCTTATTGAATGGAATTAATTGTTTCCTCAAAGGAAGCATGCACTTTCGTTTTCTTATAATTAATAAATGCCCAGGCATAGACTTGTGACATTGTATCTCTCGTGTTGTATCGTTTTCTTGTGATTAATAAATCCCAAGCATGGACTAGTGGCATTATATCTCTCATGCTGTACAATGTGACTGTGAGGATATATAATAAAAATCATGCTATTGTATGTGTTATGGAGATCAAAATATTTGTACTCCTTTTTGCCGAATGAAAATTTATTAAGATTAAATTATGAGCCACCTCAGTCGCAACATCCCATTACCACCACCCCTGTTTGATGTCAATTCTAACAACAGAGGTAAACCAGAGAAAATTCATTCATTCATACTTGAAAACCCTTCTATTACTGTTTTGCTTGTATACGATGCTCTCTTACAATAAAAGTAAATGGTAAACTCGATATTTGCTAAAGATAAAAATACGTTGGACATAAAAGGATGAATAACTACTTTTAAAGAATTCATATCTCAAATTGTTTGGTGGTCTTAGTGAGAAAAACTTATAAATTTGTCGATTTTGAAATTGATTGAACATCCTAAAGTTTGAGTTTTTATTCTTAATAAATTCATATATCAAGGGTTGAGTAGTTCTTTTGTAAAATAACTTGATGAATTTATCGTATCTATAATGAGAAGACGAGCAATAGAAAAGCTCTTAATGATTTCATATTCCTGATATGGATTATCTATATGAAGATAGACTTGATGAAACCATCCACGTAAGTGTAAAATATTAACCATTTTCTATGGGAGATGCTAAACCATTTCTCTATAGTACTTACCAACATCATAGGATATTTGGATATATTGTTGATCTATCACGAGTTTCGGTGAATGAACAAAGTCGGTTGTGTGTCATGAGTTTTGTCGAAACGATTTTTCCTTAAAGGTGAGATTTTGAAAATCACATTAATTTTTAATTTATCTCTTTCAATTGATTTAATTTAAAAACAAATGCGATTTAAAAGATCTCTCGTTTCGAAAAATTTTGGATTTCCTTTACGATCAAAAAATACGATTCGAAGAGTCGCCACCAATCTTTGATTAGGGTGTGATTGGGCACCAAAAAAATTCTTTGTCATTTTAAATAAAAATTAATTTTAATTAAAACAACAAATTGAAGTATGCGTTATCAAAATCCGAGTTCGGGAGTCGATTACGTGTGGGGAAGGATTAGCACCCCCACAACGCCCTAAATCGGTACCTAGTCGATTAATTAACGTCTTTGCAATGAACTTTACAAATTCGAACTTAATTTAATTTTTGATCCCATAAAACAATGACGTAAATTTAAAAACATTCAAAAGCACTCAAACAAATTAAATTACCAAGTTGTTTTAGAAAGATAAAGAATGATCGATTATTTACAAATATCGAGACCATATCTTAAAGATATAACAACATTTTCTCGATATATTTAAATAAACGAACATTTCTTTTTCTCTCGTTCCCAAATTTTAGGTACGAATCAATTTTTTTATTTCACTTTCGGGATACACTTTTATTTTAAAATCATTAAAAGCATACCTCAAATTAGTTATAACTGCCCACTTAAAACAATTTTAAATTAAAAGTATATTACCCTTAATCCAATTATGTGGTATGTCGAGTTATGCACATGAGGGTATCATACAAATTGTGCAAAAAGTAGATGTCATGCCAAAATTAATTATACAAAATTAAAAATATCATACAACGTGACTTACAAAAAATTATATATATATATTTAAAATTAAAAACTATAACCATGCATATAATATAAAAATGACACTATGTTAAACAAATAATAAAATCTGATTCTATACATATTGGTCAAACATGCTTACACGTGATATTAAATTAAATAATATATTTTATTTAGGCATTACAAACTAAAAAAAAAAACTATGAACATCCAAGGGCCAAAACGAACATAAGGGAAAAAAACCAGAAATAGAAAATCAAATCGCAGAGCTATAACATGGATATGCTTAAGGGACTAAAATGCACAAAAAAATAAAATTACAGGTTAAATTCGAAAGTTCATACAACACCAAGATAACTAGCACCAGGACTAAAACAAGAATCCACAAAATTACACTTCAAATGTAAAAGTAACATGGAATTGAAAACAGCTTAGCCTAGGACTAAAAAGAAAACGCGTAAACTTAGAAGATATAAACAGAAACCCAAAAAACAACAATCTAAAGACTAAAATGAAAAACTTTGAACATTAGAGGATTACACACATGATTAGTCCTTTCTTGGCCATGCACACATTTCTTTAAGCCTATGCACTGTCGTTTCATGCTTCATTCATAACCCTTAAACTAAAATTAAAACCCCATGTATTATTGGACCAGAAACCTCACCGTTCTTCACTGTCTTAACCCCCCTTCTTTTCCTTCTTTGTCTCTCTCTCGGGCACACATACGACGCTGCTTCCCCGAAAATATCGTCGTCGTTCGACAGGCCATCGTTTCACGATGCCACTCTTACCCAAACTATCTCTAACCATTACCGGAAGCACCCAAAACCACACCCCAATCTGACCGAAACACTCTCTCCACTCAAACCCTTTCTTCGCAACTCACAATGGATATACGCTAACTCCAGCCACCACGAAATAATCCCTAATCTAAGGAACCCAACACCTATATTCTATGAAAACCCGAACGAGACCACAACCAAGGCAAAACGGCCAACACGACCCTCTATCGCTCAAAGCCCCAATAATGGAAGGAAGTCTATCGACGAAGAAGTAAGGTAAATTTATGCCTTTCTTTTTCCCTACGCTTTGTTTTGTTTCATGACTCATATGTACTAAATCTAATCTCAACTCTTTTTTTTTTGACACAGCCCGAACTAAGGACAAATGGAGTCAACAAGACTCCACTTGAGTTCATATAACCCAGGTGATTTAACCCCCAAATTCCCTTTTTACTTAATTCAAAATAGTATTAGCACACACACACAAAAACGAAAGAAAGCGAACTGGAAAACAAAAGCAATTGAGGAAGAATTCCTCAGAAAAATACCTCTATTACTTTCTTTGTTTTTGAATTGTAAGATTACATTATTGTTTCTCGTCGTATCCTTTTACACCACGAAATTGATGATAGCTACTATCATTCTCGGCAACTCGTCCTCTCGTGATGGTTAATATCTTTCTCCGATGACTCCTAGTTGATTTTTAGTTTCGTCCTCCAATGGTCTCTTTCTCGGCTAATCTCTTTTTTTTTTCTCTGTCTGTGTAATTTCTCTGCTCTGTTTTCCTTCTATACCCCGTAATTTGTGATGGTTCTTCCATCTGGTTAATCCTCGGTAGCCCCCTTAATGCTCTCATTTTCAGTGGTTAAATATCCCACGTTTCTGGTAGTTAATTCCCCATTATCTGATTATTTCAACTGCTAAAGCCAACGTCCATCTCTTTTTTTCTACACACAGCTGCTGTCTATTGGTCTTGAGATGGGCCTCCAACAGTCTTGGGCTCATTTGGGCTCTCACTGATCCACACTGTAACTCGTACTGGATCTAGAACTCGAACGGAGTCCCCGGACGAAACCGAGCATCTACAGCTGCCCCTCTTTGTTCATTGTCGTGTAACGAAAATAGAACAAAGATCAAAAGATGATCGAGTTTGTCCGGTTCTATGAATTTCAAAAGATTAAAGCATTCCACTGTTACTTCAAAAGAAGTGATACTTGAAAAATCTTCAAACAACGGGTCTGCTCCCTTTTCTTTCAAGGAGTATAAGACTCGAACAATCCTTAACAAACGTGTCTGCTCCCTATTCATTCAGGGCCTTTCTTCGCAACTTACAATGGATATACGCTAACTCCCTAATCTAAGGAACCCAACACCTATATTCTATGAAAACCCGAACGAGACCACAACCAAGGCAAAACGGCCAACACGACCCTCTATCGCTTAAAGCCCCAACAATGGAAGGAAGTCTATCGACGAAGAAGTAAGGTAAATTTATGCCTTTCTTTTTCCGTACGCTTTGTTTTGTTTCATGACTCATATGTACTAAATCTAATCTCAACTCCTTTTTTTTTGACACAACCCGAACTAAGGACAAATGGAGTCAACAAGACTCCACTTGAGTTCATATAACCCAGGTGATTTAACCCCCAAATTCCCTTTTTTACTTAATTCAAAATAGTATTAGCACACACACACAAAAACGAAAGAAAGCGAACTGGAAAACAAAAGCATTTGAGGAAGAATTCCTCAGAAAAATACCTCTATTACTTTCTTTGTTTTTGAATTTTAAGATTACATTATTGTTTCTCGTCGTATCCTTTTACACCACGAAATTGATGATAGCTACTATCATTCTCGGCAACTCGTCCTCTCGTGATGGTTAATATCTTTCGCCGATGACTCCTAGTTGATTTTTAGTTTCGTCCTCCAATGGTCTCTTTCTCGGCTAATCTCTCTTTTTTTCCTCTGTCAGTGTAATTTCTCTGCTCTGTTTTCCTTCTATCCCCCGTAATTTGTGATGGTTCCTCTATCTGGTTAATCCCCGGTAGCCCCCCTAATGCTCTCGTTTTCAGTGGTTAAATGTCCCACGTTTCTAGTAGTTAATTCCCCACTATCTGATTATTTCAACTGTTAAAGCCAACGTCCATCTCTTTTTTCTACACACAGCTGCTGTCCATTGGTCTTGAGATGGGCCTCCAACAGTCTTGGGCTCATTTGGGCTCTCACTGATCCACACTATAACTCGTACTGGATCTAGAACTCGAACGGAGTCCCCAGACAAAACCGAGCATCTACAGCTGCCCCTCTTTGTTCATTGTCGTGTAACGAAAATAGAACAAAGATCAAAAGATGATCGAGTTTGTCCGGTTCTATGAACTTCTAAAGATTAAAGCATTCCACTGTTACTTCAAAAGAAGTGATACTTGAAAAATCTTCAAACAACGGGTCTGCTCCCTTTTCTTTCAAGGAGTATAAGACTCGAACAATCCTTAGCAAACGTG